TATGGATGCAGCCTGAATCTGCACTGCAGAAATAATGCAGTTTAACACAGCTTTAACTGCCATGGCTCCATCCTATGGACTCCAAGGATTTGCAGTTTGATTTGTGGTACAAGAGTTCTCTGACAGAAAAGGCTAAATAGCTCACAAAACTGAAAATCCCAAAATTCCATAGCCTTGAGCCAGGGAAGTTAAAGCGGTGTCAAACTGCTTTAATAAATTTCTGCAATGCAGACACAGCCAAAGTTGATGTGTTGCTTGGGCATGGCTTCTTTATGAAATAATTCTGCACAATGAGAGAGAGAGAGAGAGAGAGAGAGAGAGAGAGAGTACCCTTGAAGATTTATCTAAGGGAGAATCAAGTTCCTTAACTTGGAGGTTATATATCTATGTTGTGTGCCTTCAAATTGTTCCTGACTTATGGTGATCATGGGGTTTTCTTGGCAAGATTTGCTCAGAGGATGTTTGCCTTTCCCTGAGGCTGAGAGTGTGTGACCTGTTGAAGTTCACCCAGTGGGTTTCATGGCAGAGTGGGGAATCAAACCCAGGTCTCCAGAATGGAAGTCCAACACTCAAACCACTACACCATGCTGGCTCCTATTCCCATGTACTAGCTATGAAACAATTGCAGACTTTTATGTTGTTCTTGTGTGTCTTCAAGTCTTTTCCAACTTATGGCGACCCTAAGGCAACCTTATCATGAGGTTTTCTTGGCATGTTTCTTCAAATGGGGGTTGCTATTACCATCCATTACTTGGCCACAAATTGTACATACCCCAGAATGCATAACCTAATATATTGGCAGTCCTTCCCCCCAACACTTTCTCATAGCTGTAAGATGGAAATAATTTTTAAAGCAGCATTTAACTCTGGACTATTTTTTAAAAAACAAGGTCAAAAACACACTGCAGAAATAATAAGGTCCAAAACGCACTGCAGAAATAAATGGTAGGGAACATGGGAACTGTAGTTTGTTGTGTTTATAAGTGACAGTTTCCCTGCTAAGTACCTGCATGTCATAAGCATTTGAATTAAAATTACCATATTGAAATTAAATGTGATTTTTTTAAAAAATTATTTGGTGTGCATTGGAAGAGGGGCAGTCTTATACGGTGATTATATCCCAAACTCTATATTTTAGCTAGAAAAGTTGGGGGTCATCTTATACGCCCAGTCGTCTTATACACTGGAGATATGGTACCATTCTTTTGTACAAATGCTGTCTCTGCAGTAACTGTTCCCTCTAGCCCCTGTATACAATGGGTTGGATCCTATTTACTATTTTTGAGCTAATTATAAATTCACCCAAGGTCAAATTCTTATTACAGGTGGGAGGAGAATTATGCTATCTACACTGTGGAAATAATGCAGATTGACTATCTACGCTGTGGAAATAATGCAGTTTGATAACACTTTAAGTATTATAGCTCTATCTTATAGAACTCTGGTCTTTGTAGTTTTAGAAGTCTTTAGCCTGCTCAAAGAGTGCTGGTGCCATCTCAAAACTACAAATCCCAGGATCCTGTACAAATCTCTTTAAAAATAATTACATAAAACTTGGAATGAAATCAAATCAGATCTAAGTAGATGGAAGAACTTAAAAGTATTCCTATTGGAGAGGATATCAGTAGTTACAATGTCGGTGCTACCAAAGATATTATTTCTTTTTCAGAATATTCTGATCCTGGAAAATGAGAAACTATTCAGTATTTGGCAAAAAGCTATTGTCAATTTCCTATAGGCAGGCAGAAAACTGTTTATAAAATTGAAACTGCTACAAGAGGAACAAGTAAGAGGAGGTTTGGGAGTTCCACACTTGAAAATTTATTATGATGTATGTTGCCTAGAGTGATTATTATTAAGAAATAGACAATTGCTACAATTAGAGGTGACTGGTAACTGCTTTGGATGGTATGCCTACTTATTCTATGATAAGGTAAAAGTAAACAGAGATTTCAAAAATCATGTACTTAGAAAGGCATTATACACAGTATGGATTAAATATAAAAGATATATAAATCAGGGGTTATCCCTTTGGCTATCACCTATGGAAGCCCTCCACCACACAGAAATAACAACAGAAGGTACATGGTTGAAATATACTGATATCTTAACAACAGACACCAACAACAAACTAAGGCTAAAATCAAAGGAAGAACGAAATCAAGGACCTGAAATTTCATGGTTTCTTCACCGCCAACTAACAGAAAGATTCAAAATGGACTGATAGAAGGTTTTGTAACCAAGCAGACAGAAGTAGACAAACTGTTGATAAAAGAAAGTGATAAAATTATATCCAAATTCTATAAAAAGATTCTTGAAGTAGAAATGCAAGGTGAACTAATAAAAGATTGCATGATCGAATGCAAAAAGGACACTGAGGCCAGATGGTTTGTTGTTGTGTACCTTCAAGTCATTTATGACTTTTGGCGACCCTAAAGCAAACCTATTCCAGGGTTCTCTGAGTGTGTGACTTGCTCAAGGTCATATAGCATGTTTCCATGGCCAAACAGGGAATCAAACCAGAATCTCCAGAGTCCAAATCCCATGCTCAAACCACTTAAACCACTACACCACTCTAGCTCTTGCCAGATGGTTTAATGGGCCTTTATTACAAATGTTTAGAAGATGAACTATTAGGGTGTATGCACACTGCATATTTAAAGCATTTTGATACCACTTTAATTTCCATGACTCTACCCTTCAGAATCCTGGAATTTGTAGTCTGGTGACAGACCAGGCAGTATATCTCACAAAATTACAAACCCCATAATTCCACAGCATTGGGCTATGGCTTCAAGAGCAGTATCAAATTGCAGTATTTTTGCAATGCAGATGCAGTCTAATAGTAATACCATCAAGAGACTAAACTTTATGAAGAGTCTTGTCTCCCGCTGGCAAGGTGTTCAAGACAGGGTGTTCAAATACACATCTATCTTTTTCAGGGAGTAACTTTACATTAAGATGTGTCTTTAAGGAGTAACAGCTGTATTATCAGAAAATTACTGATAGTAATAGAAAAGCTTCCAAAGAAAGAAGCTAGTGGGCACAATAGTGAGAAATAACACTGGCCAAGGCTCTCAGGGGCTATGAAGATGGGCAGCTTTGGGCCTCCCCTGCTAGTCATGAATCAGGGCCGCAGCAACTGCATGCCATGGCCCCAATCCTCCCTTTTGCCACCCCTGAAAGAGTGACAAAATGCCGCTCCTTTCAGGGGTGGCAAAAGGCCACCCTAAGAGCCAACAGATGACTCTTTTAGTGCCCTTTCCAGTGCAGGGTGTTTGAACGCTGCACTGGAAAGGAATCCTGACACCACGTGCCATGCATAATGGCATGCGGTGTCAGGACAGCATTGGGGTGGCCAGTATGTGGATGCCTTGCTCCATCTCTGCCTCCAGGCTCGCCCTTTGGGCCGCTCTACAGAGGCCCTTAGATACAATGGTACTTTAGCTAACACTTGTTAGAACTGAACAGAAGATCACACTAGTTTATCACATCTCAGTGTCTTTTCCCTTGAAAACTCTTATGAGACAATTGAAAATGAAGGATTTCAATGCAACCTTTTAATTTAAACTTAAATGGCAATTAAACAAAACTTTAATAGTCAATATAATTGTCAAATTTCCTCCATTTCTATTGTAAATATAACAATTGGATTTTTAAATTAGTGATTGATAAACTGCATTAACAATTTTCAATTAACTTTCTCCTCTTTCTTTGCACCCCCTCACCTAGCAATTTCTGTCCAGAAAGAAAGGTTTAGTATCGTCCAAGAAAAGTCCATTCCTCTCCTCTCTCATGGCACAATTTTATAGATGTTTTCTGCCCTTTCCTCTGTTGTATTTAAAATTGATAAGAAAGAAGAAACTTTCTCTCTATCTATCTCTCTTTCATCAGTGTTATACCAGTTACCACAGAATTTGGTGTTGGGAGGAGGGTGTTCCAGCATGGATTGAATATATATGTATTCTAACATATAATAGAGCTTGGAGATGTCTCATCCACAGGGTTACCATGAGTTGAGGCTGACTTGAAGGTAGTTAGCAAGAACAAAGAGAATCTTAAGTATAATAAATGTGAAGCAGGCTGCCACTATTGCTCATCTTATATGAATCTTAGGAATTCCATAGGTACTTTCAATGCATACAGATCTATGTATGCTGCCCCAATATCTTGATAATGGTCACATTTAAGCTATGAGGAGAAAGACATATTTTCAAATGAGGCAAGTGGTGTAAGCTCCCCATTATACAGTCCATTGTGTTATCTTCTAGCATCCCCAATCCTTCTATAATAGTCTTAACCATGAAGGCCTTGTCTGCACTGGAGTGGGGCAGCCCAGAGTATCCTGCTGCCAGATCTGTTCTGTTCTGATCCTCCCCCATTGCAAAGCTCTTCACTCTGACAGCAGGTAGCTAACCATATACACATCCTACTGAGCAGCCCAGTGCATCCACTTGAGCATCCAAGGATACCCCATACCAGTATCATTAATGGAAGTGTATGCACACAGCTGCACTAACATGGCTATGTGCACATCACCTCCATCGAATATAATCGGACTTAGGCATGTGGGTTTTTTTTCTCATCTGTGGGAGATTCCGGAACTGAACCACCATGGATAGGAAAGGTGCTCTACATGTGTACATGCCCCCCTCTGGATGAGAGTTAGTATTCCAGTCTCATACACAGCTAAATA